GCTGATGATGACGCTGATGGGGATGATTGTGATGATGATGACGCTGATGACGACAACGATGAGGTTTATGGGATGATGGTGATGGCGTAATCATGGTGATGATACTGGTGATGGTGATGGCCATGGTGGCGATGACGACGATGATGATGGTGATGAGGAGGAGGATGAGGGGGAGGATGATGATGCTGATGACAAGAGCGAGCCGTCTTAAAGTGCTTGTTGTTGTCGGTGCTGCGTTTTTTCGTTTTTGTAGTTGTGGATGACGATGATGATTGGTGATGCTGATGATGATGCTGCTGATCATGCTGATGCTGATGATTGAGGATGGTTGACGTTGTTGAAGTCGATGATGATTATTTTGGTGATGATACTGCTGATGATGCTGATGACGTCGATGCTGCTGATGATGCTGCTGATGATGAGGATGATGATGACGATGCGGATGAGGATGATGGTGCTGATGCTGATGATGATGCTGATGTTGATGCTGCTGATGATGATGCTGCTGATGATGCAGCTGATGGTGATGATGATGATGTTGCTGCTGATGTTCGCGATGATGATGCTGTTGTTGGCAGCAGTGCAGACGGTGACAGTGATGCGGATTGCGATTGTGAGAATGGTATTGTTGTTGATAATGATGATGACGATGATGATGATGATGATGATGATGATATGATGATGATGATGATGATGAGGATGCTTCGGTTGATTATGAGGACAACGATGCTGACGATGCTGTTGATGCTGATGATGATGATGATGCTGATGCTGCTCGTGTCAATGCTGATGATGCTGATGATGATGCTGCTGATGATGATGATGATGATGATGATGATGATGATGACTGTGGTGATGATGATGCTGACGGTGTTGCTGACGGCGACGGTGACGATGCTTACGATTTTGAGAATGGATGTTGATGCTGCTGATGATGCTGATGATTCTGGTAATGATGATGAGTATGTCTATGACGATGCTGTGGATGCTTTTGATGATGAAGATTCTGATGCTCATGCGGATGCCGATGCTGCTGCTGGTGATGATGATGATGATGATGATGATGATGATGCAGGTGCTGTTGCTAATGATGCTGATGACGATGCTGTTTAATACGCTGACGACGATGATGCTGGTGCTGGTGATGATGATTTTGATGATGATGTTGATGATGCTGACGGTGACGATGATTACGATTCTTGGAGCAGTTTTGTTGATGATGATGATGTTGCTGATGACTAGGATGACGATGATGATGCTTCCGCTGATGATGATGATGATGATGATGATGTTGATGCTGCTGTTGATGCTGGTGCTGATGTTCAGGGTAATGATGATCATGATGCTGATGACGATACTGATGATGATGATGATGATGATGATGATGATGATAATGAGGATGATGATGATGATGATGATGATGATGATGATGATGATGATGATGTTGATGCTGCTTGTCATGCTGATGATGCTGATCCGATGATGCTGATGATGCCGACGGTGGCGCTGACGGTGACGGTGACGTTGATTGCGATTTTGATTGGTGTTGTTGATGATGACGATGATTAGGATGAGGATGATGATGCTGCTGCTGATGATGATGACGAGGGCGCTTCAGATTATGAAGCTGATGATGACGATGATGACGATGCTGCTTCTGATGATGGTGCTGATGATGATGCTGATGCTGATGCTGCTGATGATGATGATTATGCAGCTGATGATGATGCTGACGGTGGTGCTGCCGGTGACGGCGACGACGATTACGATTCTGCGGTTTGTGTTGTTTATGATGATTCGGGCGTTGCTGCTGACGATGATGATTAGGATTCTGATGCTGCTGATGATGATTGAGCTGATGATGAGGATGTGTCCAGTGAGAATGTCGATGCTAATGATTCTGACGCTGATAATGATGATTCTGATTATGCTGAGGATGATGATGATGATGATGCTGAGGCTGATGATGATGATGATGATGGTGATGATGTTGATGCTGACGATGATGATGATGATGATGATGATGATGATGATGATGATGATGATGATGATGATGATGATGATGCTGACGATGATGATGATAATGATGATGCTGATGCTGCTGCTGATGATTACGATGATGCTGATGCTTATGATGATGACATGCTGATGCTGATGATGATGCTGACGGTGACGATGATTGAGATTCTGAGAATGGTGTTGTGGTTTATGATGGAGACTAGGGTGATATTGATGCTGATTAGGATGATGATGATGTCGATGATGATGCTGACGATGATGAAGCTGACGACGATGTTGATGGTTATGCTGATTTCTATTATGATGATGCTGATGAGCATGATGCTGACCATGATGATGATGCTGTGATTACGATGATGATGATGATGCTACTGCGGATGGTTATGATGATGATAATCTTGTTGCTAATTATTGTGATGATGGTGTAACTGATGATTGTGATGATGATGTTGATGGTGACGCTGATGATGCTGACGGTGGTGCTGGCTGTGACGGTGAGGATGCCTACGCTTCTGAGAATGGTTCGATGATGATGATGCTGATGATTAGGATGGTGATGGTGATGATCTTGATGATGATGATGCTGATGATGATGAGGATGACGATGATGATGGTAAGGATGCTTCCGATGATGACAATGATGATGCTGATGATGATGGTGATGATGATGATGACGATGATGATGCTGTTGATGATGATGATGATGATGATCATGATGATGTTTTTTTCTGATGCTAATGGTGATGATGGTGCTGCTGCTGCTAATCCTGATTGTGAGGATGCTGATGCTACTGCTGATGATTATGGTGCTGATGATGATGTTGACGCAGATGCTGACGGTGAAAATGATGATGACTACGATTGTGAGAACGGTGTGATTGATGATGGTTATTATGATTATGATGATGATGAGGATGACGATTTGTATTACGATGATGACGATGATGCCGATGTTTTCGATGCTGATGATGATACTGATGATGATGCTGCTGATAATGCTGATGATGCTGATACTGCTAATGCTGATGATGACGATGATGCTGATCTGAGTGTGCTTTCAGTGGTGCTGACGGTGACGGTGACAATGATCACGTATAGACGAATGGCGTTGTTGATGATGATGATTCGGATGAGGATGATGATGAGGATGCTTCCGATGATGATGATGATGATGATGATGATGATGATGATGATGATGATGATGATGATGATTATGATGATGCTGATCACGAAGATGATGACTGATGCTTATGATCATGACTATGATGATTTGCGATGGTGACGATGACGATGATGATGCTGATGATGATACCAATGATAATGCTGTTGATGATGCTGTTGATGATGATGATGATGAGGATGATGCTGACGGAGATGCTGACGGTGACGGTGACGATGATTACGATTCTGATAATGGTGTTGATGATGCTGATCATGATTAGGATCATGATTCCGATGATGACGATGATGTTGATGAGGGCAATGATGATGAGGATGATGCTTTCGATCTTGATGATGACGTTTCTGATGATGATGATGCCAATGATGACCATGATGACGATGATGATGATACTGATCTTGATGATATGATGATGCTGATGCTGATGCTGGAACTGATGATGGTGATGATGATAATGATTGTGGCGGTGGTGTTGGTGATGATGATGATGATGATGATGATGATGATGATGATTATGATGATGATGATGATGATGATGACGACGTTGATGATGATGATGCTTATCATGACGATGATGATGAGGGTGAGGATGAGGATGCTTCCGATGTTGATGATGATGATGCTGCTGATGCTGATGATGCTGATGATGCTGATGATGATGCTGCTGATGATGATGAGGATGATGATGACGACGCCGACGACGACCACGGCTAGTAGGATTCTGATGATAATGAGGAGGAGGAGGAGGAGCAGGAGGAGGAGGAGGAGGAGGAGGAGGACGGTGTGGGCTGTGACGACGAGGACGATTTGGCGGGTAAAGGATGCGAAGTGATGGGGGAAACAGAAGTAGGATGGGGGGCCATGGCGCTGCTGGGACCAACCTTTGTCTTGACCCTCGTGGCCGCGAACTGCTTCGGAACAGCCGGCTCCACTCTGCCATTCGCTCGTGGCAGCTCGGATCATGTCCGCTTCCAGCCCGGGCAGTCCAGATCTCCAGGCGTCCTGAAAAGAAGAGGCCGCATATACGCGGACTCTCGTTTCAACTCTGGCGCCCGGGAGCCGCTGCTCTCGAGCCCGCCTGCGGCGAGCACCTGTGTGACTAGAGGCTCCGTGGCCCACGTCGTGTCCAAGAAGCCACGAAGTCTGAGGTCTGGGTGTCTTGGGAGCAGAGGAGGAAAAGGTAGCGATACCGCTATAGACTCGCCTCGTTTTCGCCATTCTGGGCCTCCTGGGAGGCCCTCGTCGCCACCGTTGGATTCGCCTCAGAACCTACCCCTGGAGAGGTCCGTTGAAGTAGCGGTACTCGTACCTTTTCGTCTCACCAGGAGCGGGAGAGGTGGATTAATGCTTGAGCTCCATGCAGGGAAAGTGCCCCGCATCTCCAGTAATGACAGGGTGGTTGGATGGGGATGATGGTAGCAAGGTATGCTCTCATCCTGCTGCGCCTTATCCCCCAGGTGCTTGTTACAGGTATCCTTCCTTACATCTTCACGGAACTTGGTGTTTGTGCCAGGCTTTCAGCTTTTTGTCGTCCGTGGGCGCCCTTGGTGCAGCACGGTGGGATCTCTCGGCGCATCATGATGCTTGGGGTGATGTCGACTACGTAGGAGCACCACCAGCTGTACGCCGAGCTTGCTCTGCCACATCCCGAGGAACATCAAGCTCTGAGGGCCTCCCCGGCCGCGCCCGGTCGTCTTCTCCTGTTCCTCCTGCCTCTCCTTCCCCTGCCTGTGCCTCAAATTGCTTCGCTTATGTCCTGTGGTAGCCTGGCCGCAGCTCAGACCCGAGACGCCGCCAATCAAAAAGCAGCCCTTGCCTGGGGGACCTCTCCTTTGGTATCTTGGGGTTCGTGGCTTAGCGCAAGGTCCACTGACAAAGTGAGCGCAGTCGGCAAGAACCTAAGTGTGCACGTAGCACGCGCGTACTTCTAGTATGTATGTATGAATGTACGTACGTACGTATGTATGTATGTATGTATGTATGTATGCACGTATGAACGTATGTATGTATGTATGTAGAAATGTATGTATACATACATGTATGTATGTATGTATGTATGTATGTATGTATGTATGTATATATGTATGTATGTATGTAATGTAATGTAATGTAATGTAATGTAATGTCATGTAATGTAATGGATTGTAATGTAATGCAATGTAATGTAATGTAATGTAGTGTAGTGTAGTGTAGTGTAGTGTGATGTAATGTAATGTGATGTGATGTGATGTGATGTGATGTGATGTGATGTGATGTATGTATGTAGGTATGTATGTATGTATGTACGCATGCATGCATGCATGTATGTATGTATGTATGTATGTTTCCCTCCCTCATTCCCTCCCTATCTCCCTCCCTCCCTCCCTCCCTCCTCTCCCTCCCTCCTCTCCTCCCTCCCTCCCTCCCTCCCTCCCTCCCCCTCTCCCTCCCTATCTCCCTCCCTTTCTTTTTCTTTTTCACCCTGCGTCCCCTCCCTCCTTCCCCCACCCTCCCTCCCCACCACCCCCTTTTCCTCCCTCTCCCCCTGCCCCCTTTCCACCCCTCCCCCTTACCCGTCCTCGTGACGCCTTTTACGACGCACAAGGTTTCCAGCTGCCTGCGGCAAGTCCCGCGACCGTGCCAGTCGAGCCTTCTCGGTGGCAACTGCTCCATTTCATGATGATGATGGCGATGGGTGGTGATGAAGATATTCTTGATGATGCTGATGGTAATGCTGATGCTGATGCTGATGATGGCAGTGATGTTGATGCTGATGATGGTGCTGATGATGATGACGACGACGACAATGGCGATGGGCATCTCAGGAAGAGGAGGGGGATGAAGGAAAATTTTGATGATGAGGAGGAAGAGAGGATGGGGAGGATCGTGGTGACTACGGGGATGAGTATCACTTTGATGGTGGTTGTGATAATGACAAGGAGGATTGTGCAGACGATGATGGGGGGATGCTGATTCGGAGGAGGAGGAGGAAACAGAGGAGTATGAGCATGAGGAAATTTATGATGCTGATGATGCTGATGATGGTGCTGCTGATGCAGATGATGATGCTGATGAGGATGATGATGAGGGTGATGATGATGATGAGTATGATGATGATGAGGTTGAGGATGAGGATGAGGATGAGGATGATAATGAGGATGTGGATGGTGCTGATGCTGATGCTGATGACGATGATGCTGATGCTGATGATGATGCTGATGAGGATGATGATGAGGGTGATGATGCTGATTATTATGATGATGGTGAGGTCGAGGATGAGTATGAGGATTATGCTGTTGACGATGACGATGACGATGATGATGACGATGCTGATGCTGATGATGATGCTGATGAGAAGGAGGAGGAGGATGTAGGCGGGGGATGAAGAGGAGGTGGCACAAGGAGACAGGGTCAGTGTTGTGGGCCTGTAGCCATAGAGGTCCAATTTTATTCTAAACCTTATCTTTAATGTCCGTATTCACATGGCCTTGACGAAGGTGAAGGCGCCAGGGAAACGAAAATCACAGCAGCCTCCAACGGCACCGCGGTGAACGAGGATGCAAAGACCGAGGGCCCCGCTGCGACTCGGAGGCCACATGTATTGAACGACGTGGCTGGACTGGCCAAACCCATGCATGAGTTCAAAGGGCATCTGCGTGATTCCCTCTTAGGGCACTTGGAAATATTACATTTCGTTGTAAAACATGCCGGGCCACAGCGGGCAAGCGAGGCTGAAAAGGTATTGCCGCGGTACACAAGTATTACGCATTGCTGCGGGTGTGACGAGGGGGAGGGAAAGCCTGAAACAGGGTGGAATCGAGTGGGCCACAGTGCTCTTGCGAGCTTGGACACCTGGAAAGATGCATGGCTGCAGCGGGTGTCGCAGGCAGGCTTTGCAGAGGAAGGACGTGTCGAGACTGTTGCGGAACCCAGGTGGAATTGTAGAATACCTCTGGGAGATGCGTCCGAACAGTTTGAAAGCCAAGGCAGCTAGCGTGGATGAGGCTCAGTTTTCAATCTTGGAAAGACAGTGTCGCCGAGGCTTAAGCTGACTTAGGCTTGCGAGGCAACGCGAGCTTTGTGAAAAGGCCCACCGCGCACAAGAAGGCGAAGGACTTTCATTACGCAGCGACGGAGCGGGCTTGTGCGTGAGGGAGTCGAGGTCTCTGCCACATGTGAGCATCGGCTTGTCGCGACACCGCTCGCACGGAAGGAAGGGCACCCGCGCTCGCAATCATGCGTGCGAGATTGCGATGCGGTGTAGGAAGCGCCTCTGCCGGTGCAAAGGACAAAAGAATCTGCTACGCATCCAACCCGGGGGGGTCCGGCATGTGCAGAGTGACCTTCTGTACAAGCTGGCACATTTTGCCGGAACCAAGCCCATCCACAGAGGGCCTCTATATGAAATGCGCATACCATCTACCCTTCTAGCGTATCAACATAAGGCCCTTCTGCAAAACAAGCTGCAAATCCCGCTTCGCCTTATGCTTCAGTCTAGATTCCTTCAACTCGCACGCCAGGTCGGTTGATATACTTACGCATCTGTTTGCGAACACTTCCCTCGAACAGTTCCGAGGCGTGGTTTATTGCTCCCTTGATGTGTAGGCAATGTGGTGTGTATGTGTGTGTGTGTGTGTGTGGTGTATTATGCGGTGTGCCAGCTATATGATGCGATCAATCAATGCGGCTGCTTGCGGCAAGTCCCGCCGCAGTGCCTGGGTTGCGGGTTATAATTCGGTCCCCTGGATGTTCATTTGGGATATCTTGGGAGGCGTCCCGGGGGGCCGTTGAAGGCAGTTTTTGGGCTTCCTCGGGGCCGCCCGAGGGGCCTCATTTGGGCCTCATTTGGGCCTCTTTTGGCCCTCTTGGGGGCCTCTTGGGGGCTTCTTGGGGCTTTTTGGCGGCCTCTTGGGACCTCCTGGGGCTTCTTCGGGCGGAAAACTGGAATTGTCGGTTCGTGTTTCCCCTCATGGGCCCTCTTGGGGCCGTTTTGGGGCCGTCTTGGGCTGTTTTGGGGCCCTCTTAGGCCGTCTCGGGGCTCTCTTGGAGCCCTCGCGGGCCGTTCTGGGGTGGTCTTGGGGGCCCGTGGCTCCGTTTTGGAGCGCTGGAAATTCGAAAACATGATAACGTAACAATATACGAACATACAGCAACCATCAACGAGTTTTGCTTCTGTGGGCTCTCTTGGCGTTTCTCTTGGGGCGCTTTTAGGGCTTCTTTCGGATAGCTCTCTGAGAGCTCAGAGGGTTCCAGATTAAGAAGCCGGGGCCGCAGGGTAGCCCCAGAGCTCATTCCGGCTTCCGGCAGGATTCCCCAGAGAAATTTATTCGAGCCGGAAATCTGTCCCGAGAGACTTTTTCTAAGCGTTTCCCAATGCGGGTGCCCAGAAGCTTTCCAGAAGGTCCTTCGGAAGCTGTCTCCAGGTCCGTCCAAGGTTCTTCGACAGGCCTTCTCACGCCCTTGTGTTGCCCTGCTAACCGGGTTTTTGGACCCTGCAAGTGCATTATTTATGCGTTTACATTGACGTTTCCATTCGCATGTAAATATACATTTTCATGTGCACCCACATGGGCACACATACGCACTTGTACGTGCAATGTACATACGCATGATCACACATTCACGCACAACATATTCACACATGCAAGTTTACATACACATGCATAGACATGTGACTTCACTTACACATGCAATTATACGCGCATTCATATGTCAATGCGTACACAAATGATCACATATCAACTTGCAATTCCATATGCATATGTACATATATAGACATGTGCATACACCAATTCACATACATGTACGTGTACATATACGTATGACTTTATAGGTGATTTGACAAATGCATTCGCATTCCTTATAAGCGTACACGTACATATGCACACGCATAGTCATACAAGTGTACATGCGCACAACAAATTGCATATGCATTCTGGCACACCTGCGCACATACACACATATATATATATATACACATACACATACTCATTCATGTGTATGTATGCATGGAGTTTTTTCCTCATGGCAAGTGTTGTGTGGTGAAGGACGCTGTCCCTCCCTCCTCTCTCCTCTTCTCTTCTCCCTCCTCTCTCCATCTTTTCTCTCTCGCCACCTCCCCTTCGCCTTCCCTCCCCCCCCCTCCCCGACGACGACGACGACGGCCACGGCGGTGGTGGCGACCACGGCGGCGGCGGCGGCCATGACGACGGTTTCGGCGGCGGCGGCGCCGACTGCGCCAGCGACGACGACGACGGCGACGATGAGAACGGCGACGGCAATGGCCCTGGGCGACTTCGACAGCGGCGATGGCGGCGGCGACGGCAACGACACTGGCGATTCGTTGTCCGATGGTTCGTCGCAGGCCTCTCCCGGGGTCCATCCTGGGCGGGGTTTCGCCCGGGATCGATGTCGGACGGCTCTGGGGCCCGAGATGGGCAGACGGGCGCAGAGATCCGAGAAGAGCGCTTCTCCGCAGCTGCGAGCCTCGATCGACCGAGGACGGCCGCGACGACGACGGCCCCGTGGACCGACGACGGCCGCGACGGCGACGGGGCGGTCGGTGGCCGCGTGTCGGCGGCCGGCGCCAGGCCCTCGGGGAGGCGGGCGGGGCGGAGGCCGCGGCGGCGCTCCCGCTGGCAGCGGCCCCCGAGGTGCCGCGGCGCCGCGGCGTGGCGTCGACGACGACGACGACGACGACGACGACGACGACGACGACGACGACGACGACGACGAAGAAGACGAAGACGACGACGACGACGACGACGACGGCTACGACGACGACGCAGAAAAATGCGGGGCCCTCACAGATCGGTCGGGCTC